GCCATGCAAGGATCCCTCTCTGAATCCTATCACCCAATTGCAATAATTAAGCAAGACACTAACTTATCAATGCCTTGGTTTAGTGATTAAATCTGTCTATATGCCAATACATTTAGAGGGTGTGTGTTTGTGAAAGAGAGAAGAGAAACGCCTCTTGTAAGATTGCACCTGTTAGCTAGCAAGGTCTCTCCAGCTTGCTGTGTGGTGTATTAGGCTGCGGAACAAGCCATTTGCTTGTGTCTCCGCAGATTTTCTTTCTAAGCTCCATAGGACAGTTTTAGCAGTACTGTGATCACAGACACATTTCCCATGAGCCAAGAGCTGATGTATATGACTTGTATTTGATATGGTGACCTTTCATTTTCTGGTGAAAATGGATGTTGTTATATATATCCCTCACGCTTTAACTCCGGTACAGAAGGCAATTATTGGTTTGTGTGAGACAAAATCAAATCAGCATGAAATGTCAGTTGTCTGAAGGCTAGATGACATGTTACAGAAGGCAATGGGGAAACATGTGCAAATCTTCTGTGTCTGCTTCTGCAATAATATGAAACTCATTGTTTTGACCTACAGTGAGATTTGTGAGCTGCAGTCTCACAGGTCTGAGATCTGTGAATGACTCCTGCAAGTGATAGCACTTCCCAATAGAAGTGGGTAGAAACACCTTATTTTGGTGTTTCTCAATTCATTCATCCAACCATTCTGTCCCATTCCATCATCATCAATATCATCATCATCATTAAAAACACTCAAAGAGTTTCATTTGAATAATATTTAAATATATATTTTTGAAAGTGCTTTCTTCACAAGATGCACATTTCTACGTTTGCTTCCGAAAATACAAATTGCTAATCATTTCTTATGTAAGGATAACTACATATAATTCCATCAGATGAGATCAGTGCATATCAGAGTTTGCAGAGAATGAGTTCCTCAAGGCCCTCCCTACTTCTTATATTCAGGTCTCTGTGCCACCTGTGACTGAGAACAGATTGGGCCACCAGATCTGGAGAGTTCAACAGTTTAATAACAGCCGTGTCAAGAATTTGCTGTCATATACCCCCCCAAGTTGTGACCTGAGTTGTCCTAAACTCTGCTGAAATCAGTGGGCATCTCACAAGTAAATCAATTTGGTAAAGGCACCTGCAGTTTTACATAGCTGAAATTCAGGGATGACATGCTGCTTGAGTTTCAACATCTCACCCTGTAGTCCTGGTACAGTAAATAAGTCGCAGCCTAAAATTTAATTTGGTGTCTGAAAACAAGCTGATTAATTTTGATTTCCTGTTTGCATTTCAGATCTGGCAGTGTGGAGGCTCATTGGAGATTGTAACATGTTCACATGTTGGCCACGTCTTTCGAAAAGCTACGCCTTATACATTTCCTGGGGGTACCGGTCATGTAATTAACAAGAACAATAGACGGCTTGCAGAAGTATGGATGGATGAATTTAAAGATTTCTTCTATATAATATCCCCAGGTAAGGAAGTATTTCATGATAATTTTGTCACAAGCACGGCATAGTAGAAATGCCGTGTGTGTGTGTATAGTTTAATGGATAACTCTGTGTTGAGGGTTAATTGTACTACCTAATTCAGTCTTAGCACATCAGGAGGAGGTACATTCTTTAATAATAAAACCAGAACCATTTCAGGATTGCTTTGTAAAATAGTGGCTTTAGCAAGCTTCCAAATTGCCAAGATGTCTTTGGCTTTTTCTGTGTTTATACAAGACTATGTAGAATGTAAAAGAGCTCCATTGGTGTTGCATAGCTCTTTTGCATATTAGTTCTGGGGTAAACATGTAAAGTAGGAAATATTTTAAAAGATTTTAAATGCTATTCTTCTACAGCTGAATCCAATCTTTTCCCTTTTCAGTTTCCAATACAAAGGCATTATTTTAGTAGGGTCGACAACTTTATTTAAAAGCAATTATTGTGGAAATAACTTTTTTTTAAAAAATCAACAACCTGACAACAAATCCCATTGGCACCACTTTTGAATCCAATGTTGACACGATATCAGCAAGGCTGAGGATATTGTAAATTGTGAAGGATGCAATCCTTTGCCCTCATCCCTGGGAGTAAACCCCTTTAAACCCAATGGATCTTACCTCTGAGTAGAATGTATAGGGGTTGTGCTGTAAGTGAACACTTTTACACAGAGTGCTGATTGAAAGCTAGAGATAAGCAAAGTATACTCATACCTGGGAATAGTTTTGGTTCAATTTTAACTTAACATGCAAATGTAGAGCAGTTCCAAAGCTGGATAAAGCTTAGTTGAGTGACTGTTGGGGATAATGTAAACTTTGCTCTGCTTTCTGAAAGGGATGCCCAGCAGTAGGGTGGCATTCATACTGTCAATACCCCTCCCTCAGTACACCTATGGAAAGCTCCATGGTTATAGATGTTCCATCAGCAGTGTTATCCTAGTGATGCGTGTGGTGAGGAAGGGGTGGTGTGTGGGGTGATGCAGAGGATCCTGAGCTCCCTAATTCACTCAACCCCCCCACCTCAGAAGGGCCCAAATGTATGCCAGTTCCAAAGTTGGTATAGTAAGTTCCTTTCCACAGGGAAGATAAATCTCTTTTTAATGGGAAAAGCCACTCCTACCATCCTGCCTTTGGCCATCTGGAAGGACATTGAATGTGACAGTTGTTCTGTCATGGAATTGCTCCTCCACCACAGAATTCTTCCTAAATGTAATTTTCGCTTTCATATTCTTCTTTTGATAAGTTTATATTACATTAAACTGGTAGTTATTTTTTTAAAATAATAATAATAATAATCTAGAATTTCCTTTGCATATTCTTGATGCAGTTTAAGATTCTTGGGAAAACTGTTCTTTTTGCTTCAAGATACCTAATCTTCCAGATAACTTGAAGTAAGGCTGAAACTATTCTTTAGTAAGTTTTCAATGTTTTGAATGGAAAGTGTGGTTCTTTCCTTGATCAAAGACAAGAATTGAAAACTTCAAATTGTAGCTTTGATCAGGAATAAAATAACTGTATTTATCTGAAGTGCCGGTTCTCTGGTAATCGTTGCTTTCTTCCCTATATTTCAAAAGGACACTTGATTGGAGGAAGCTAGGTTTTTTGGCGGGGTTGTAAGATGTTATCAGCTTCATGAGCCAAGGCCTTTAAAGGAGAGAAAGGAGAGAGAGAGATGAGGCTTTGTTACGTTTGTCTGTAGTTATTCATGAAGATATGCTACAGATTAACATAATAAGGCCACAAGCTTCTGCCATGTAGTTAAAAACCTGTCACATACCTTCCTTCACAAAAGGAAGCTTAAAATGTCAAATGCAAAAACATGCAGTACTATGTGTCTGTTTTATTTTACTATGGATGGCATATATACCTTTCATTTTTGTACTGAAAAAATAAAATAATCCTTAAAGATAGGGATAGGCAATGTGGTACCATCCAGATGTTGTAGATTCCAGCTCCATCAGTTCCAGCCAGCATAGCCAATGGGATTATGGGAGTAATAATAATAATTATAATGTTGTTGTTGTTTAGTCGTTTAGTCGTGTCCGACTCTTCGTGACCCCATGGACCAGAGCACGCCAGGCACTCCTGTCTTCCACTGCCTCCCGCAGTTTGGTCAGACTCATGTTTGTAGCTTCGAGAACACTGTCCAACCATCTCGTCCTCTGTTGTCCCCTTCTCCTTGTGCCCTCCATCTTTCCCAACATCAGGGTCTTTTCCAGGGAGTCTTCTCTTCTCATGAGGTGGCCAAAGTATTGGAGCCTCAGCTTCACGATCTGTCCTTCCAGTGAGCACTCAGGGCTAATTATAATAATAAATTATAAATCCTATACTGCCCTTCATCCATAGGAGCCAACTCCTGAGGCCAAGGTCCCTTCACACACACACACACACACACACACACACACACCTAAAATATTTGAGGGGCAGCCCCCCCCCCAGGATTTTATTCAAGTTTCTTCATCTATCCTGCCTTCACCTGAGGAACACAGGGTGGTTTACAACGTAAAAATACATACCGGAGTAACAAACAAAAACAAAACCCCCTGCAGCTTTAAAGGCCATAATTAGCTGAAGCCCTAGGAGAAGAGGAATGTTTTTGCCTGGTGCCTATATGTAATGAAGGTTATGTAATGAATAAAGATATGTAACAAATGAACTTTATTAGTTGCCTTTCTTTATGTACACATGCTAGGGCTAGCATCATACAGGGTGAGGCAACCATCTTTAGATAGCAGATTGCAAGCATCAGTAGAGGGTGTTGAATCATCAGTTACTTGGATTCATGTTTTTAATCAGAGTGCATAGGGCATTTCCAGTTGGATTTTCTGCTACAGGTGTCAAAATGCGTGGAATCCTTGGAAGTACTGTTTAAAACTGAATCATAATTCTTTCTCTGCCTTGTCTATAATTAGCTTCCCGCTTTACCTGTGTTTGCCTCCTGTCTTTGTCTTCAATAAATGTAGGCATCATTCTGTTGTTCAGGCTGTTATCACAAAAATTTCCCATTTAATATTAATTTGGTGCTTGGAAGGTAGGATGAGCTTACAACTCCGCATGTTGTATAATGCAAAGTTTAATTGTAATTGCTTTTGTGATGGTTTTCTATTTTGATTAAGTTTTTAATTATGTGTGGTTTAGAACAGTGTCAGGTTTCTAAAGCAGGGGGTAAAGGTCAGATTCAATAATTACTTCAGAAACAAAGCAAATGCTTTAGGCTAACAAAGCAGATATTGATTTTTTTTTTCTAAAACAAAAAGCTTTCAGGATTATTAAGAGACAATGGTTAATTATAAAGCTATGTTCCTTTGTAAGTGTTTACCATGAGCAAATTAAAGGAAATGTCACTCACTTTTCAACTTCCTCCTTGCTTCACCATTTTACAGCACAATCCTATACATGCTTATTTAGAAGTACACCTCACTTAGTTCAGCTCGGCGTGCTCCCAAATAAAAGTGCAGAGGATTGAATTCCTAAACACACAGAGTAGGGAGTAAGCTCCATTGGAAGCCTGGGATAGCTCGGTTGGTAAAGCATGAGACTCTTAATTTCAGGGTCGTGGGTTTGAGCCCTACGTTGGGCAAAAGATTCCTGCACTGAAATGTACCAACTTCAGCTAGGCACTTTAAGGAGCGTTTGTTGCCAAAATATTCCAGGGCAGGGAGTGCAGGTCTATTCCCCCCCTACAGTTTACATGCCTGCTCCTTGGGAGAAACCTAGACAGCAACTTAAAAAGCAGAGACATCACCTTGCCAACAAAGGTCCGCATAGTTAAAGCCATGGTTTTCCCAGTAGTGATGTATGGAAGTGAGAGCTGGACCATAAAGAAGGCTGATCGCCGAAGAATTGATGCTTTTGAATTATGGTGCGGGAGGAGACTCTTGAGAGTCCCATGGACTGCAAGAAGATCAAATGTATCCATTCTTAAGGAAATCAGCCCTGAGTGCTCACTGGAAGGACAGATCGTGAAGCTGAGGCTCCAATACTTTGGCCACCTCAGGAGAGGAGAAGACTCCCTGGAAAAGACCCTGATGTTGGGAAAGATGGAGGGCACAAGGAGAAGGGGACGACAGTGGACGAGATGGTTGGACAGTGTTCTCGAAGCCACTAACATGAGTTTGACCAAACTGCGGGAGGCAGTGGAAGACAGGAGTGCCTGGCGTGCTCTGGTCCATCGGGTCACAAAGAGTCGGACACGACTAAACGACTAAACAACAACATATCTGCTGGTGGCTTTGGTGGTAGCAGCAGTATCAACTCTGACCCTTGTCATGCTTCTTCTCTAGTTCACAGGAATGACACAAGAGTTAGAATGCTGGGGGAGAGGGAGGGAGGAATACATTTGCCATAATTGACAAAGTTCTCCACTCAGCACTAGAGGATAGTATAATTCTCAAGGCACTCTGGGGGAGTGAAACATGGCAGCAGCTGGAATCACTTTTAAATGATAAATGTGTCTCCACCCAATATATATGGGGGGACAAAATCACCATTTGAAATGGTCACTGAAATTCCCCTACCAAATTCACCAACTGCAAGTAAGCATATGTTGCCATTTGTATGCCTCAATAAGATTCTCAAAATCCCTCCAAAGTGACTCCCTCAGTGGTGACTCGAATAATAGGAAGCAAAAATAATTTGGGGAGAAAATGAGTCACTGCTGATTATTTTTGTCACACACCCTCAGAATTCATGCACAAAGCCAACTCGGGGGGCGGGGGGAGGAAGTATACCATGCATATTTTATGTTTAAGTGGGTATTTTATTTCAGATAAATTTTTTTTTAAAAAAAAAATGTTATTATGGACTACCAGGCTTTTGAAATAAGCAGGCAAACAACTGAATAAATAATTGATGGCACTGCCAATTTCCTCTTTGAAAGGTAGGTAGAAAATGCATGAAAGACAACTTTTCTGTTAGAAAACATACTGAATAGAAACTATTTGGAATGTTTTCGTGGAGCCTTTCCCCAGAAATACTTTCCATTTTGTGTCACGGAACTTTCTGAGTAAGAGGAAACAGAAGTATTGTTCAAATGCCTTTTTGAACAGATTTATACAGACTCTAGGTAATATAATACCATCCAAATGAAGCAAACTGTGGTTAGTGTTAAATTCCATACCATGCCTCCAGCACCATCGTTTGCTCAGTTTAGGCATAATGGCAACTATGGTTAGAACAAACGAGACTGGGAGGAGGAGATCTGTGCTCACAACAGGAGAGGAGATTACCATCGTTCATTCCCAATCTCAAAACTATGGTCAGAGGACTGGAAATATGATACCTGGATTTCGTTTTGGTTTTTTTCTGTCTTTAGTCTACTTTTATTTTAACTTTTTGATACATGGATTTCTGGGCATCAATTCCTACGTGAGCACTTGAAAAGTTAAATATATTTGGGAAAACTTGCACATAGTTTTTTTTATTTAATAATTTATTACGGCCATAGGCCCATACAGATAAAAACAAGACATAAATAACAGCCTGTGCACATGGGAAAAAACAGCCGCTAAAACACTACTATAACAATAAACTACTATAAGATGGAATGGCATACTACGCCTTAATTAGCTTGTGGTGCTCCTTGGCAACGCTTTGGGTAAGGACAGCGACCAGGAACCTAGCCACTTTCAGGGTCGTATGGGCATCCTTATCCTGCAAGATTTGGGCAAGGTGGAATTTTGGTGGAGTACCCTCTAATTTCTGTATGATTGATCCCAACAAATTTGCCCGTGGCACCTTAAATAAGGGGCAAGTGAACATAATGTGCTGAAGCGACTCCGGCGTCTCCTTATCACATTCGCACATGGCGGAGGTTTGGCCCTTTGAGAATCTATGTCTCAGGACATTGGAGGGAAAACATTAAACCTCGCTTTGGTGAAGGCCAGCCTATGGGCAGCAGTCGAAAGGGAGGAGAGGTATGATGGAACGCAGTAAGTTAAAGTGATACCAATGTTCTGGGGCGAACAAACACCTCCCCAGCATATAATTTTGCTGTAAATCGATGTCATCCAGTCTTTGGCGGATCAGTCTTTGAGCAGTGATTTGATCTAGTTTTAGGGAATCTAAGGGAGAGATTCCATAGCTCAGAAGTTTGGCATGAATTCTACTGGTCCAAAGGCTGGAGAATTCATCTCGCCATAAGCATTGGGCAAGGTAATGGTCTGGTAATCTATGCCACAATGATAACCAATAATTGAAGACTTGCTTCCACAGGCAAGTTTCTAAGGATGCGATCCTCAATTCTAGACGCATGGCTGCGTTGCTTACGCACAGGGGGAGCATTAGGAGCCGACGTAGGAATTGGTTTTGCAAAGTCTCAAGAGGAGCAAGGTCTGTCATCACGACCCAGAGCGGGGCAGCATAAGCAAGCACGGGAACCACTTTTGCCTTGAACACCTTTAGGGCCGAGGGAACATGCAAAGCTCCATCCGAAAAGAAAAATCGGAGGAGCGCATATGACAGAGTTTTGGCCTTATTAAGTAGGTGTTGAATATGTGCTTTCCACCCCAAATTGTATTGAAAAATAACTCCTAGGTATTGAAATTTTAGGACTTGCTCTATTTTTGCTCCACCAAGCTTCCATTCGTATAATCTCCGACTTCTGGCGAAAATCAGAATCTTAGATTTAGCATGATTGATGGTTAATTGGTTAAGTTGACAATACGTGCACATAGTTTTATTAATTTATGGTTCTTGTTTTTGTGGCTACTATTAGATGCTTATAACTTCTGTGTTTTTGAAGCCGCTGTAAACTTGTTGAAGAAGCAGCATATTAATGAATCACATTTGACGTTTAAATGTTACACTTTCTCTGGCTTTTCATGAGACGCTTCCAGAAGCAGGGATTGTATGGGAAGGCAGAAATATTTTCTTTAGTTTGTTTACTACTGCTTGCTCATTCTTTCAAATCCTTTCCGAGGCAAGCAACACTATTATACTGGATAGTGAAAAAAGGAAAGGAATTGAAGCTATTACTCAAGGGGGAAATGGTGCTTAGAATAATTGTACCCTTCTGCCTATATCTGTTCTATTTTCTGCTGGAGAATGTGCATAGGCATATCTTTCCCTTCATTACTTGCATGTAACACAATGTACTCCTCTGGGAAGCTTTATGCCTATCTCAGGGCAATGCCTGCTCACATAGCTTGTATCTATATATTTTATTTAAAAGTTCTCATGAAAAGCTTTCCAAAGATCACGTGATTTTTGAAGCCATCGTCTTTGCTAGGAATATTCTGTATGTGGTTATGGCTTCTGTCAGGGAACTGCCATCGGACGGAAGGGAGGTGAAAGGGCTCACACAGGTTGGGAGAGACGCAGCAGCTGAAGAGGAAACCAACAGGGAGGTGAAAGGGCTCACACAGGTTGGGAGAGACGCAGCAGCTGATGAGGGAACCAGCAGGGGAGAGGAGCTGAGCTGGAGGGATGGCTCAGAGACACTTCCAGCGAAAACAGTGGAGAGGTTTCAGGACCTCCTGTAAGAACACCCACTCCTCGCCGGAAACTGTCACGCAGAGATTCCAGAAGACGTGTTTCCGTTAAGGAGCTTTTATGTTGGAAGCGATTACGAAAGCAACCACTGTCGGAATCTGCTAGTGACTAGAGTAGCCATGTCTGAGGGCTCTGTCACAGACAGAGGTTTGTGGACTTGAACAAACTCTGAGGGGATACGATTTTACGCACAAGCAGCTCATCATCCCATCACAGCATTCCGACAGTCTTTGAAAGCAGCTTGTGCAGGAGAAGGTATCATGAGCAACCCAGCCGGAACCGGAGAAGCAGGAGCTGGAGCGGGTCCAAGCCTGGAAGAAAGGTACCAGATGTTGGAGGTCCAGCTAGCGATGCAGACGGCGAGGCTTGAGGAGAGGAGGGCTCAGGATGCAGACAAAGGGGAAAGCCACCCAGTTCGCCAGAAAGGTACCAGGATTGGTGCAGAAGTTTGGGGAGCCCAAAAACTATCATGGTTTTCGGACAGAAATGCAATATGCCCTCAATCTGCAGTTTGATGAATTCCCTGACGAGGAATCACGAGTGGCTTTCGTGATTGAGCATCTTGAAAATTGGGCGAGAGACTGGGTTAGACCCCTGATGGCAGCGAATAGTGACGTCTTAAAAGACACGATGAAGTTCTTTCGCGCCATGGATCTGATGTTTTCCAGCGATATTGAAAAGGGAGTGGTGCGCAGACAGTTAATGTGTTGCCACCCGGGGAGCCGATCTGTCCGTGAGTACTGGACTGAGTTCACCATGCTTGTTCACAGATTGGGGTGGGACTTATCGGCGGAACCCATTCAAATGCTCTTTGAAGAAGGGCTTTCTTCGGCTGTGAAAGACGAACTTTCCCGGGCGCCCAGGGCGGAGTCTATGGACCAGCTGACCAAATCAGCGCTGGCCATAGGAGGCGCGCCAGGACGCGAGTTCATCGGTGAGGCGGGACGGGAAGGGGAACGTTGGAAGGAGTTCCGCATTCCAGACATTCCAGAGCCAACTGTCCCACCGGCAGAGCCGATGGAAATCGGAACAGCGCGCGCGCGCAGTTTCAAAGCCCAGTGAGGGGGCAAAGAAGGAGGGAAAAGGCGC